CGGTTCGCAGCCGAGTGTGAAGCAGCGGGAATGAGGATCAGCACCTCCAAATCTGAGGCCATGGTTCTCAGCCGGAAAAGGGTGGAGTGCCCACTCCGGGTCGGTGATGAGTTCCTGCCCCAAGTGGAGGAGTTCAAGTATCTGACAGATACTGAAGCTACTGATATTGAAGCTCTCAATTTACCGGTCGATCTACGCCCCTACCGGCACCTATGGTCACGAGCTGTGGGTAGTGGCCGAAAGAACGAGATCGCGGATAAAAGTGGTAGAAATGAGCTTCCTCTGAAGGGAGGCTGGCCTCTCCCTTAGAGATAGGGTAAGAGTTTAGCCATCCGAGAGAGGCTCAGTGTAGAGCCGCTCCTCCTCCACATCGAAAGGAGCCAGTTGAGGTGATTCGGTCATCTGACAAGGATGCCTCCTGGGCATCTCCTGGGTGAGGTGTTCATGTCTCACTGGGAGGAGGCCCCTCCTATATGACAGACCAAGTTTTTCAGCAGATTAAACCAGAGGATTAGAGACATTACACTGTAATATTTTTTTCAATTTAAAATTAAAGCAGAAAATATTTAAATTTTTTAAATAAAAAATTAAGTTCTTGCATAATCCAGGTTTGATGTTTAATCTGTTAATTTGTCTGCATTTGTTATGTTTGCAAAGTGTGAGGAAGTAAACTTAGATGGAGACGTAAGGAAATTTGTTTGTTCAATTATTTCTTTGTTGCAACAATGTTTCTTGGCAATAAATCTTATACAATTTCAAAGCCTGTTTATTTCTCCTGAATTGGTGCCTCATTTGTTAGGAAAATGAATCATGTTGTCACAGAAGACTTTACTTTGAAAGCACCTCTGCAGTCTCTTCTCTTTGTGTATTTAAATGGCAAATAGACAACCAACTCTCATTCACTCTTATTTTATCCTTAAATGTAGTTATTTCATACAAATGGAAATCTTTATACGTATGAAAGATTTCCATTTGTATGCTCTACGTGCTCCAAGTTATATAGCTTGATCATCTTTTGATTACGAGCGTTTAATTCATCTATAATCATAGGTAGCACATATTTTTTCCTCTATTTCCTTGTGTCTATCAGACAAACCCTGCTGCGGCTTTTCTGGTGTGACTTTGATACAAACAATGAGGAAATCACATCAGTTAAAGCTACAGTAGCAAGCCTCACTAATTCTGTTGGTGGTGTTTTGGAGAAAGGTCAGTCACAGTGTTAGAGCGCCACCACTGGACTCAAGCGGCACTCCATGTCCACCTCTTTCTGTGAAACCACGTGATCACTCTGTTAAGTTTCGTTTTCGTGTTTATGACAGCCGATCTGGTTCGATTTGCAAGCGTTGGCGCACAAACGGAGAACAAAGAATAGGCTGTTATCTAATATATGTGCCAGGACGTTAAGGCTTCTTGTCTGACTTGTTCTGCAACGTCCCTGCAAAAATAAAGAAGTGAAACAATCAATTATTAACATCAAAATTTTAGACAGGTCAGAAGGACATACATTTAAAAATAAAGTGTACAGCTAACTTTTAATCTGTAAAGAACAAGTTACTAAACTCATACAGAGAAGTAATTTATGATGAATTCTGTATGCATTAAAAAACATAAATAAAAAAAAGAACTTCTATTACTAAAACCAAGGCCTATACACTCAGTATGCTGCTTTTACAATATAAAAACAAAGGCTGTGTGTTTAGATTTAAGACTTTATTTTTCCTGTTTCTCTTGTCCTCATCTGACCGCTGCCCTCAGACTGGGTTATCTTTCTGATGCCTTGCTGCCACTAACGTAGCACGTTACTCCACAATTTGCCTTTGGTTTATTTTTAGCCAGAGGGCTCCATCTAGCGGCGGGATGGCAGTGATCCTGAATGCAATTTTGAAGACGTATTCTTCTAAGCTACTATAAAATCTTTGTTTTTAGGCTTCCGGGTACTTTAATTTTTCATATACACGTTCACTCTTATGTCAGCTAATCCTGATATATTATAAACTTATGGCGTGTTTTTGTGTTTTTCCTGGATAACTGTCGGACTCGTCTGTATGTGAAAGTGAAAGTGAACTTGATCTCGGACTTGGAGGGGAAAACCAGCCAACTAAACCTTGTTTAGTCCGTTTGATTGCAGCTAAACGAGGGGACCTGTCTGTGAGGAAACACGGATAA